ATGGATTTCAATTCCCAGAATTCCCCACTCAGCATGATTTAATTGTACGTATTTCAACTCCCAGAATCCTCCAGTCAACATGCTTTAATTGCCTGGATTTCAATTCCCAGAATTCCCCACTCAGCATGATTTAATTGTATGGGTGTCAACTCCCAGAATCCTCCAGTCAACATGCTTTAAGATGGGCGGATTCTGGGAGTTGAAGTCCGCCCATCTTAAAGCTGCCGAAGCTGAAAAACACTGCTGTCATTTGTGTCTCAAAGCAAAAATATGAGAGCGGGAAAAAACTCCCCACATGCTCAGAGACACAGGACCAGCACCCCTCTCTGCTCCTGCACACCCACAACTGGAATACCAACACATTTTACACGGAGGCTCCCTAACCACACTGAGCAGGGACTGTTTTCCATGGGGGGGGGGGAAGAGAGAGAAAGGCTCAAAATAAATCCTTAGCATTTCCAGGGAAAAAAATAAATGAAAACAAAAACAAGAGGCCTCCAAAAACAGGGCATACTGTTCTTGGGAGGCCTCCAGCCTGGAAAGCCACTCTGCACATGCCCAGAGTCTCCCAGATCATTGAGAGATGGGGTGCTCCTCATCCCGCTCCATCAGTTTGTCTCCCTGCATTGCCAGTGATCTACAGTGGCGTTAAAGCAGCTGTGCCCCTCGTACTGCAAAGCCCATGCTCCACAGCCCCTGTGCCTGGGAGGGGAGGTGGGGTCTGAGGTCCACCACACCCCTAAAAGCAAAGATTTGGGGGGCACAAGGTGGCCCTCCTCCCAATCATTGCAGCCTGCCCCACCCAGCCCGGGGCCTCCATTGCCTGCCTGCCTTGCCTGGGCTGGGCTGCGGTTGCCTAGCAACCAGGCTCTGCATCACTGCAGGGAGGGATCTCTGTGACAAGGTAGGCCTCGGGGCAGCTTGCAAAGGTGGGGAAGCTGCCAGACCCACATGCACCCTTCCAGGGACGCCTCTTCCTGCATGGGGGGTGGGGGGGGTGTCACGGGGGTGGGGGAGCAAGCGTGCATGCACATGGGGCCTTGGCACACTTGTCCCACGTGGCCCTCACTTTGCCCTGAGCCAGAATTTATTTTTGCAGGGGTTTTTCCTCCCCCTTATATCTGAAGCAACATTTTTCTATAGAGGATGGCTGCTTTCTTTCCCCCCCCCCTCTATTTTTAGCTAGAAAACATGATTGTTGCAATCAATAGATTAGATTTTTATTATTATTTTTATTTTGGCTTGCCAGTTCTGCAAATTAGCTATTGCATCCCTCCAACCCACTTCATCCCTTGTGTTAATTAAGCTATCATTTGTTAAAATTACGTTGCCTGGTTTAGCATGGATATGGTGACTCTATTTTGGGGTGGTGGTGGAAATAAAGCACTGATTTTGGGGGGGGAGGAGCAAATCTGAAAGAGGATAGAAATATATACATATATATATATACATATATACTTATATATATACATATATATACATATATTGTGGATGTTTACAGATGGGTTTGCAAAGGAAAATTTCAGAGTGAGAAAACTTTTTGTATTTTCATCTTTTTTTTTATTCTTTGAAACTGAATACAGTCTTAAAGAAAAGAAAAGAAAAACTACAGGAAGGTGAATTTGAATAAAAAATATCTGAAATTGAACAGAGCAGGGGAATTTATTTTAAAAAGAGGAAACGGTTTCTTATTTTTCACATGAAGGTAAAAGGTTGCGCATTGTAAAAAATGTGAAATTTTACAATGTAAAATTTACATTGTGAAAGATCGTGCGTTGTTCAGTATATGCACGGTAAAAATTGAATGAGCAAAAAAAGGGGACCAAAAGTTCATTTTTGAAAAAGAAATCAACATAAAAAATAACTTTGTGAAAGAAAAGACTGTCCTTTATAACAAAGGATATCTGTTCACCCTAACCAGGATGTGAGAATCCAACCAATTACAGTTTAGTCCACAAACCATGGCTTAAAACAAGATGTGGAACTCTCTTTCATTAGAATTGGTTAGACATTCTCCTGCCATAGTAATCCACCATACTTTAGCTGTTTATTCAGGGTTACAAACGTTTTGATGTGAACATTTCCCGCCAGGCTTGGGCAAGGGGTGGACTAGAAGACCTCCAAGGTCTCTTCCAACTCTATTATTATATTATCCCAAAGCTTGCTACTTGTAAGGCTCAGACTCTCTCCCCTTCAGACAATAAGAATGGACTTTTGAAAACTGGGTATTTCAAAAGGAATTCTTGATTGAAAAGGAAAAAGATCCAGGCGATGTTCAAAGCAGGGTCTGATATCCCTCCAGGCATGCAGCTTAGATAAAAGGAGTTAGAACCCCCACCCCCCACCCCGATTAGTCTGGTGTGGATTTCATCAGTACAAAGAAGCAACGTGTTAATTTTCCCCCTTTATTTTTTCTGGGAATGTAGTTGAGAAAAGTTTCCCAGGATTGCTGTCTCTCCAAGAGGTGACAAGTTTCCAGGCCTCTGGGCTCCAGTCCCCAGTTGTATATCGTGTGCAAATTATACAGATTCAATACAAGAATTAGGATAATACAGGTTACATCAAAAAGGATTAGTTGTATCACCTTCTTCCATTGAAGAATGGCAGATACAGGGGTCTGACACTGCCCTTCTAATGGAAGTTTGCTGTTGTGCTCCAATATGGTGGTACCCGTTTTCTTTCTTTCTTTCTTTCTTTCTTTCTTTCTTTCTTTCTTTCTTTCTTTCTTTCTTTCTTTCTTTCTTTCTTTCTTTTTTCAATTAATACATTTTCTTGAGTATAAGCATTAAAAGCATTGAACATGGTGGTCTTCTTTGACATACATTTCTGTCAGTACATTTTGCATTTAGAAAAAATGTACAATTATGTACAATTATATACATTTGTTTACCTATATACATTTAATCTTTGTAGTTTTTTTAAAATCTTTCTCATTATTCCTCAATTATAAGGTCCTTCACCTCTTCCCTATTTCACCTATTAGGTTCTTATCTCAATTTTATGAATTCCCTTTCATGTCCCTCCAGAAGTAAAATTGATTCCATGTTTTGCGGTATTCTGATTCATCTTGGACCTTCAATTCTAATGTCAACCTATCCATTTCGGTGCATTGTAGTATCAATCATAACACCGTCATTAGGAATTTCACTTGCTTTCCAATTTTTGGGCGAATATCATTCTTGCTGCCGTGGTTACATGTATAATTAAATAGGTATCAGCTTTGCTAAATTTCTCTTCCGTCATTCCCAGTAAGAATAATCTCTGGTTTGCAACAGATTTTTAGCCTCATCATTCCCTCTAACCATGTCCAAATTTTGTACCAGAACTCCTGAGTGACTCCCATTTTCTTTTATTTTCTTTTTTAAATGTTGTATTGAACAAAAACATTAAAAACAATGAACGTGGTGAAATTGTCCTGACAAACCTATTTGTCATACGTATCTATGGTGGATAGCATATAATACAAATTTACATGATAAAAACATTTATACATTACAACAATTTTCCATATTTCTAATCTACTACCTTAACATCCTTATCTTATTTTAATTTTAATTCCTTCCTTTCTCCCCACCGTTGGTAAAAATTTGTCTCATATTTTATAGTATTCACTCTCGTCCTTTTTTTTCCAATGTTAGTTTATTCGTTTTGGCGCAGGTCCGTATCTTTTAAGTTTATCTCGGTTTTGTCGGGAATTTGTGCAGGGCTACAAAAGAAGAGCCAGCTGATCAGCTGGGACTCAATGGGAGGCAGAGAACAGACGGGGTTGGCGGGGCCAGTCAGAGGTGGTATTTGCCACGGGTTCTCCCAACTACTCAAAATTTCCGCTACCCATTTCTTCTAACCAACTTTGAATTTTGTGCCAGAATTCCTGGGCTTTCCTGAGTGACGCCCATTTTCCATCTCATCCTCTCCAGACTTCATCTGGCCTAGTCCCAAATCCCTTGAAGAAAACCGAAATGTCCTCCTCAGGTGGAAGCCGCTGGGAATGGGAGCCGGTGGTCCGCAGTGACCTCTCGGCTCGAGGCTTCCATTCCTGCAACGTGGCGCAAGGAAAGCTCCTGCTCTTTGGGGGGCTGAAAACCCAGGACACTCAGGAGCCGCCCCTGGGAGACGTGGTGGCCTTCGACCCAGCCGCCCAGGCAGTGCGTCCGCTGGCTCCGGAACATGGCTACCGCCGCAGTCACCACGAGGCGGTGGTGCTGGGCGACCGCTGGCTCTGTGTGGTGGGTGGGTGGGATGGATCCCGCAGGGTCTCCGACGTCTGCAGTTTCGATGTGGAGCAGAAGCAGTGGGAAGGCTGGTCACCCAGGACATCCGAGACCCCTGTGGGGCTAAGCAGCCATACTTGCACCAAGCTAACGGACCATGAGTTGCTTGTGGTGGGCCGGGAAGGTGGCCTGCGCACCCAGCGGCGTTATGCGAGCATCTTCACATTGCACCTGCAGCTGAGCAGCAAGACCTACTGGTAAGGTCCCACTCAGGGCCTGGCATGGCCAATGGAGATGAGGGCTCGGTGCATCTACGACGGGGGTGTCAAACTTGATTTCATGGAGGGCCGCATCAGGGTTGTGCTTGACCTCGGGGGTAGGGGGTAGGTGGAGATAGCCAGCTCAATGTCACTCATGTTGGGGGCACCTGCGGTGGCCAAGTTCTAAGGCAGGACTTCCCTCAGACCAGGGGTCTCGAACCTTAGCAACTTGTAAGACTTGTGGACTTCAACTCCCAGAATTCCTCAGCCAGCTTGCCCTGCCTCAGACCTCCCTCACTCTCATTATAACCTACCTTCCTTCCTTCCTTCCTTCCTTCCTTATCTAAGTTCTCTGCAGGCCGGATTCGGCCTGCGGGCCTTGAGTTTGACACCCCTGATGTATGACAGTGTTTCTCAACGTGGTAAACCAAAGCAAGCCACTGCATACAATGCACTTGTAAAGACATTGTGCGTTTTGATTGAGCACAAGCTAAGGGTATCAGTAGATAAGGAACACAAAATGCGAATGCGATTATGCAATTGTAGATGATACGTTCGCATTTTGCATTGTTTAAAGGACACTTACGTTTGGGTCAAAACTTATTCTTAGCAGAACCAAAAATGGTATTTTAAAAGCAGGCAGAAGAACCCGATCCACTGAAAATCAAAATCTTTGCCTTCTCCTTCTCTCTCCTCCTTCCTTCTCTTCCTCCTTCTTCTCCCTGTTCTTTCTCTTCTTCCTCCTCTTCCTCCTCCTCCCTCTCCTCCTTCCTTCTCTTCCTCCTTCTTCTCCCTGTTCTTCCTCCTCCTCTTCCTCCTCCCTCTTTCTTCTTCTCCCTGTTCTTCTTCTTCTTCCTCCTTCTCCTCCTCCTCCTCCTTCCTTCTCTTCCTCCTTCTCCCTCTCCTCCTTCCTTCTCTTCCTCCTTCTTCTTCTCCCTGTTCTTCTTCTTCTTCCTTGTCCTCCTTCTCCTCCTCCTCCTTCCTTCTCTTCCTCCTTCTCCCTGTTCTTTCTCTTCCTCCTCCTCCCTTCTCTTCCTCCTCCTTCTTCTCCCTGTTCTTTCTCTTCTTCTTCCTCCTTCTCCTCCTCCTCCTCCTCCCCTTCCTTCCTTCCTTCCTTCCTTCCTTCCTTCCTTCCTTCCTTCCTTCCTTCCTTCCTTCCTTCTCTTCCTCCAAGGTACAAAGAAGAGGAATCACGGACAGCTTCCAGAGCTGGCCACTCTGCCATGCTGCTACAGGATTATGGCCCACTCGGAAAGAGCAGCGGCTACAAACTCTTGGTCTTTGGAGGGCGCGATTCTGCAGAGTGCGATGTGGCCGGACATTGGAGCAAAGGAAAGCTCCACGTGAGTCAGATGCCAGTTTGTGGACTACAGACTGGTAGCTCAAAAGAACACAGAATAACAGAGTTGGAAGGGACCCTGGAGGTCTTCTAGTCCAGCCCCCTGCTCAAGCAGGAGACCCTGTGTCATTCCGGACAAAGACTGAGAAAGCCAAGACCCCAGTGGAAATGGTTCCCACCCCTTAGGGTCCGCCTAGGCTAAAGTCTTGGGATGGGGGGTGTTTCTCTGTCCCTTGCCACCTTTCCTGTCCTCTTTTGGGAGGCCAAAATTACACAGTAATTCAGAAAGCAGAAGAGGGTGCACTGAGCCGTTTGATGAGCAGTGGGTCTAAATTGTGAGAAGGACATGAAACAGGAGCTGTGGTGGCGCAGTGGTCAGTGCACAGTACTGCAAGCTACTTCTGCAGCCAGCTGCCTACAATTTGGCAGTTCAAATCCCACCAGGCTCAAGGTTGACTCAGCCTTCCGTCCTTCCGAGGTGGATCAGATGAGGAGCCAGATTGTTGGGGGCAAGAGGCTGACTCTGTACACCGCTTAGAGAGGGCTGGAAAGAACTGTGAAGCGGGATATAAGTCTAAATGCTATTGCCCTTCCTTCCTTCCTTCCTTCCTTCCTTCCTTCCTTCCTTCCTTCCTTCCTTCCTTCCTTCCTTCCTTTCCTCCCTCCCTCCCTCCTTCCTGGTGATTAGAATGCAGTATTGCAGGCTAACTCTGCCCACTGCCAACAGTTCAAATCTCACCAGGCTCAAGGTTGACTCAGCCTTCCGTCCTTCCAAGGTGGGTAAAATAAGGGCCCAAATTGTTGGGGGCAAGAGGCTGACTCCGTAAAACCCCTTAGAGAGGACCGTAAAAGCACTATGGAGCAGTATATTAAGTCTATTGCTATTGCTCTATGACCTCCACTAAAAATCTTGCTAGTAAGGAGGAAATCCATAGGGCTCCTCCAAAATTCACGAGAGATCATGGATGGTCAGCAATATTTTTAGCATGCTAACCCGGTCTCTAAGCGCAGTGTTTCTCAGCCTTGGCGCTTGAAGATGGACTCCAATTCCAAGGATTCCCCGGGCAGCAGCGCTCACAGCTGCATGTATGCATAATAAGGTTAAATTGGTTCAAGAGAAGTCAATCAAAAGAGGCAGCATTCTTTTTTAAAAAAAATTTTTTTATTGGTTTTTAAAACAAACATAAAGAAACAAAACATAAAAACATCAAGTCATCTTCCATATGTGTTCATACAGTACGCTGGTTGGTTTACAAATTGTTTTGTGCTTCCATTTCATGGTCTTCAATTATAATTCCATTGTATATAATCTCGTATTTTCAATCAAATATTAAATACATTAATATCATTATTAATCAATCGTTTGACTATACTTTTATTCATTCATGTTTTACAAAATGATCATATTTTACTTAATTTGTTTTATGTCAATTCGTATTATCATCCCAGATCTATCCTAGAATCATTTTGTAGATATAATAAGAAAAGAATACATCTTTATATATTTATTATTTTGTAAAAGTCTACATATTTCATTACTATATTTTATTGTCTAACCATTGATAGAATAGATCCCAAATTTTATAAAATTGTTTATCCTCTTGTTCTCTAATTTCAAATGTCAATCTACTCATTTCAGCACATTCCAATATTTTCTTAATGATTTCCTCCTGTGATGGTATTTTCCCATTTTTCCAGTTTTTAGCAAATACAATCCTAGCCGCTGTTAATACATTTACAATCAGGTATTTCAAGTCTTTACTATATATTTCAGGTAAAATTCCCAATAAAAATATCTCCGGTTTCAAATCTATATGTTTTTTTGTCATTTTTTCCAACCACATGTGGATTTTAGTCCAGTATTTTTTAGCATCCGCACAAGTCCACCACATATGGTAATATGAGCCAGGTGTCTGATGACATTTCCAACATTTTTCGGATTTATTCTTGAACATTCTTGCTATTCTTGCCGGGGGGAAATGCCACCTGTAAAACATCTTATACAAATTTTCTTTATATGCTGTTGACATTGTCATTTTATAATTTTGAGACCACAATTTTTGCCATTTCTCTAGATCAATCCCATATGCAAAATTCTTCCTCCAAGCAATCATAGTTTCTTTAACTTGTTCTTCTTCTGGTTTAATTTCTAATAAATATCCATACAATGTTTTAATCACCTTTTCATCAGTACCTGTCAAAATCTTATCTAAGTCAGTCAGTTTATCATAGAAACCTTCTGTTTTAGAATCTTTATCATACCTTGAATGTATTTGCGCATATGAAAACCAATTCATCTTTATACTTTGTTCCTCTAGTTTTTGTATAGATTTGAGTTCACCCTTTTCATTCAATATTTCACCATATCTAACTGTTTGTTCCTTTTTGTATATTACAGGATAAAAAAATGCTTCAATAGTCGATAGCCAGACTGGTATTTTCAAATAACATTGTCTTTTAATCTTCTCCCAGTTTAACCACAGAGACTCCCGTATATAATGTCTTCTAAAGTACCCCTGTGTTTTAGTTCCTTTATATCATAAAAAAGCATGCCACCCCAACAACAGATCATGTCCTTCTAATGTCAACAATCTAGTATTTCTTAATGTTATCCATGCCTTAACCCACATCAAATTTGTAGCTTGGTAGTACAACTCCCAATTAGGCAAACCAAATCTTCCTCTTATTCTAGCATCTTGCAAAAGTTTTAACTTTATTCTCGCTTTCTTACCGTGCCATATATATTTCAACACAATTTTATTTAAATCTTCAAAGTAGTCTTTCCCAAGCCTAATTGGTATTGTTTGAAACAAATATAAAATTTTGGGTAATATATTCATCTTGATTGTTGATATTCTCCCTATTAATGACAGCTGTAAATTTTCCCATTTCGCCAAATCTAGCGCCATCTTAAAAGGGGCAGCATTCTTAAGGTCAGGCCAAGCCAAGCCAAACCGTCTCTGCCTTTCCTCCCACAGGTGGAGTCCACCCAGGCCCCGGAGCTGACGGAGCAGCTCTCTCGCTTGGTGGGCACTGAAAAGGGGTCCCAGCAAGGCCCCAAAGGCCTACGGCACCATTCCTGCACGGTGGTTGCGCCCTTTGCGGTCATCTTTGGGGGAGAGACCCTGGCGAGGGGCCGAGATGCCATCTGCAACGATCTTTACATCTACGACGCCAGTAAGAGTTCTTCCAAAATCTTCTCTCTTCTTCTATCCCGGAGGCCTCCAAACTTTAAAAGCTTGAGGACTTAAATGCTGGCTGGCGTTGAAAGTCCACAAGTCTTAAAAGTGGTCCAGTTTGGAAAAACTTGTGGGATTGACACAGGGGTGGGATTCAAATTTTGTAGCAACCGGTTCTGTGGGTGGGGCCATGTGATTGGCTGGGAGTGGCTTCTTCTTTTGCAGCATCCCCCCCCCCCATTTTTGGACCTTCTGGGCCTCAGGGGAGCCTCCGGGGGAGGGGCGTTTATGCTCCCAGAAGGCTTCCCTGGGGCCTCAGGGGAAACTGAGGTTCAAAAGAGCTCACTTCAACTCAGGAAACTGCAATTAGCAGCCTGGCCATCCGAGATTGGAACCTGCATTTGCCGAGGGGTGCTTGGCTTGTGATAAATGCACAATAGTTGCCAAGTGCGTGACTTGCAATTGTCATGCCCCTGTTGGAATCTGACTCAGAGGGAGAAGCTGAACAGCTGACAGGGAGTGTAGCTTCCTTGGCTGTGGAGGAAACTGGGGAAGGGCAAAGTCCGGCTGGGCAGAGCAGGAGAGAGGTAGAGCAAGGGAGAGGGAGTTTGGAGAAAGACTCAGGCTACCACCCCGCTCTTCATCCTAGGGCACGTAGGAAAGAACAGAGAAGGGAGCAACACGAGTTGCATGGCTTATGGGGGAGGAAAGGGCCCTGATTCCCTTCATTAGCTGCAGTTGGGAACACAGTGTTCAAAAAGGGAGTTTGCGCACAGTAAGTTGTTGGGAGCAAACATGAATTTATCTTGTATTGTTGTGGCTTATCTGTGTTCCTGGCATCTTAGTTTAGTTTACTTTATTGTCATTACACCTTGTACAATGAAATCAAACAGCATCTTCCCAACTGTATGAGTTTCGCTATGCTTTCAAGTCTGAAATTTCTTCTCCTGCCCTGTCAAGCTAATTACTTCAGCTTGATTTGTTTGGATTTTTAATTGGTTTATATGTACCTTGTTTTGGACTGAATTTTCTACAGTTAAAGGCTGTTCCTGGGAGTTTTTTCTCCAGCCAAAGGTAACCTGGACATTGCGGGCAAATTTGGAGATAATAAAGGGACTCTTCTTGCTTATTTGACTGTGTTGCCTTTGTGCCACGCCCCTTTGGGTCTTTCACAGCAGTCATGTCAGTGAGGGGAACACTGCAACGATCGCTAAGTGCGAAGGCCGGCCTGGGCTGTTGTAATTTTGAACAATTGCTAAGCAAATGGTCGTTACATCAAGGATTTAGGAGAATTTGTTTCACTCTTGCAGGGGCGTCGCCAGCCAGCTGGTTCCGCTTTCCTTCTTCAAGCCACGCGCAGAAGAGATGCGGCCACCGAACGTGCCTCTGGAACGACAAGCTGTACCTGGTGGGTGGGTTTGGTGCCGATGGGAAGACCCCTTGCCCAGAGATCTGCAGTTTAAGGATCTTGCCATGAAATTCGAGGGATTTTTACTTGCCAAAGGGGACTGCCAAATGCTTCTTCCACCACCCCTGGAGTTTCTTTTTGGCTCTGGAGAGTCAGCCCACTTCGATGGAGTAAATGCACTCAAGCAGGTCAGAAAGACGCCAGCTCTTGAGGCACAGAAACAAACAATCCGACGTACACGGAAAATGCCAGCAAGAAGTCACCTCCTTAAATTTGAGGTGTGTTCCCTGTTTATGAATAAAAGTTTTGCCCAGTTTGCAAGTAAAAGTTGACTTCCTCCGTTGTTGCAACCTTTCTCAGAAGAAGTCTGGTTTTGATCTGATAGCTAGCTGGAGAATTCTGGGGGTTGAAGTCCACAAGTCTTAAAGTTGCCAAGTTTGGGGACCTCTGGTTTAAAACAAAATCTTTTTTTTTTTTAAGTAGAACGAGGGTGAAGGTTCCTTCTCCATGCTTGTGGGTTGGATTCTGAACGTTTCATTACCAGGCGAGGTAACATCTTCAGTGGATGGGGATGCCGGTCTGGTGTAAACTCCGCTGAAGACGTTGTTACCTTGCCTGGTAAAGAAACGCTCAGAATCCAACAAGCTCAGAGAATGAACCTTCACCTTGATCCTACATCCGAGCTATAGATATTCACCACTATTGCAAAAAATGGAATCATCAACTTATTTATTAACAATTCTGGTCCCATTAAAGGAGGGGTCTTCAAACTTGGCAACTTTAAGACTTGTGGACTTCAACTTCCAGAATTCCTCCTCCTCTTCCAGTCATGTTAGCTCAGGAATTCTGGGAGTTGAAGTCCACAAGTCTTAAAGTTGCCAAGTTTGAAGACCTGTCATGCCCGTCAGAGTCTGAATCCGAGGAGGAAGCCGAAGAGCTGACAGGGAGCGGGAGTGTGGCTCCATTGGCTGTGGAGGAGGCTGAGGAAGGGCAAAGTCCAGCTGGGCAGAGCAGGGAAGAGGTAGAACAAGGGAGAGGGAGTTCAGAGGAAGTACCAGGCCCACCCCTCTTCATCCTAGGGCATGCAGGGAGGAATGGAGAAGGGAGCAACATGGGTTGTGTGGCTTACAGGGGAGGAAAGGGCCCTGATTCCCTTCATTAGCCACAGCTGGGAAGAGATCTGATGAGAGGCAAGGCTGCGTGCAGCAGGCTGTTGGGAGCAAACATGAATTTATCTTTTATCGTCATGGCTTATGTGTTCCTGGCGTCTTCCCAACCATGAGTTTTGCCGTGCCTTCACGTCTGGAATTCTTGCTCCTGCCCTGCCAAACTAATTACATCAGTTTAGCTTGTTTGGACTTTAAGTTACAGTTTGTGTTGCTCATGTTTTGGACTTAATTTTCTGAGGTCAAAGGCTGTTCCTTGGAGTTTTTCTCCAGTCAGGAGGTAACCTGAACATTGGGGGAAAAGTTGGACCCATTAAAGAGTTATTATCTGTGTTGCCTTTGTGCCATATGCCGGGTCATCACAAGACCCTTGCATTAAAGGTTTGATCAGATCAACCACATACAGGTTGTCCTCAACTTAACAATCATTCATTTAGTGATCCCTCAGTTACAATGGCCCTGAAAAACGTGACTGACCATTTTTCACACTTACAACCATTGTAGCGTTCTCCTAGTCACGTGATCAAAATTCAGCCGCTTGGCGACCGACTCATATTTACGACGGTGGTAGTGTCCCAGGGTCATGTGATTCCCTTTCGCGACCTTCTGACAAAGTCAATGGGGGAGCCCGATTCACTTAACGACCGTGTTGCTAACATAACAGTTAACAGGAACAACTGTGGCAAGGAAGCTTGTAAAATGGGGCTAAATTCACTAACCACTGTTGGAAGTTTTGAGCTCACTTATGGTCATAAGTTGAGGACTACCTGTAGTGGCTTTTAATGTATGAACTAAAGCAAATATATTTTCAGGTGAATGTTAAGTTTTGTAGAAAAGGGCGTTTCAAGAGAGGGAATGAAAACATTTCTCCCGTTCTCATTTTTTTAAAAAAATTAGACCATTTTCCTGCTGCATGGTGTGGGGAGGATGGGAAGTGTCGGTCAACTTCCCCCAGTTGGGACAAGAGAGGAAAAACACATTTCTGGAGTTGAAATAGTCGCCTCGCTCACTCTAAAAATGTGTTACCTGACAAACCAAGCATGGTTGTTGTTGTTGTTTTTTCATTTTTCAAAAGGGCTGAATAAACGTTGCCCATTCTTATTCCAAATTACGAAATGAAACAATCCTGAATATTTTTTTCAAAATTCCTTCTGTGGTGGGATTTGTCTTGGCGGGACTTTGGGCCATGGCTTTCCCAAACCAATACCCCCCCCCCCCCAGGACAACAACTGCCTTGCATATTTTGCCGGCGAGGGCACTTCCCGTGTGAGAAAAACGAAGCTCCGCACACCCCGCGGAGAATTTCACCCCTAGCAACCGTCCTCATTTCTCCACTGTTAAAAGTCAAGGAACCAAAATGTGCCTTCAGCTGGAGTGGCGTCTCTTATCTCATTATGTTTCTCGGCTCCAAGCCCAGGAATTCCACAGCCAGCCACGCCCGTTTTCTGTCTCTCAATCCTTAGAACGGAGAGGTTGCAGGGAAAGGGATCACAAGAGAGGAAGCAGGTCTACAGTGGGGACGGACGTCAAAAGGAATGCGTTATCGCCAGGGAATTGCTGGGTGGGGAATTCTGGGAGTTGGAAGTCTACATATCTTCAAAGTTGAAAAAAAAACAAAACCAAAAACACAGCCCTGGACACAGACGCACCTCACCCTCCTGCTATAAACTTGGCATTCTTGCCTAAATTTCACAACAAACCAACATTTATTTAACAAAACACAGAGGAGATGACCCTATAACATATCCATAGTGATAACGGGGGGTGGGGGGGGGGTGTCTCTTGAGATCCAAAGCGGCAACTGTGGGCTGAGGGAGGGTGGGGTCAAGCCCTTCCATACAAGTCCACTCCTCTTTTTTTAAGAGACCAGGACCCCAGCGGAACTGGATTTGGCAGCCGCCCCCTCCGGGCTCTCTTTGGCCGCCGGCCTCTGCTCTTCCTCGCCCATCAGGCGGATGTTGTGCTTCTCGCGGAACTCGTTCAGCTCCCGGCCTTTGGTCTGCAGCTGCTGGCTCAGGGTCTCGATGATCTTGTTGATCTGCAGGAGGGCAAAGGGAAGAGGCGACAAGAGGCAGCCAATGGGGGCGGCTGGAGGGTCAAGTCCCGCCTTAGCCACGAAATCGGGCTGGAGGACCCTGGGCCGGTCACCCTCTCTCAGACCAGCTCACCTCCCAGGGTGGTTATCATTGGAGGGAAAATAGGAGGGAGGGAGGGAGGATTAAGTATATTCAACGCCTTGGATTATTTATTAAAAATAATAGAGAAGGAAGGAAGGGAAGAAGGAACAAGGAAGGAGGGAGGGAGGAAGGAATTAGGAAGGAGGGAGGGAGGAAGGAATTAGGAAGGAATAAGGAAGAAAGGAAGGAATTAGGAACAAGGAAGCAAGGAAGAAATTAGGAAGGAACAGGGAAGGAAGGAAGGAAGGAAGGAAGGAAGGAGGGAGGGAGGGAGGGAGGGAGGAAGGAATTAGGAAGGAAGGGAGGGAGGAAGGAATTAGGAAGGAACAAGGAAGGAATTAGGAAGGAAGGAGAATGGGAGGGAGGAGGAAGGAAGGAATTAGAAAGGAAGGAAGGAAGGAGGGAGGGAGGGAGGGAGGGAGGAAGGAATTAGGAAGGAACAAGGAAGGAAGGAATGAAGGAAGGAAGGAATGCAGGCTCTCTTTTCACCGTCCTTGAAGAGGCAGGCATGTCTAATTGGTCGGATCCAGGCTCACAAAAATAATGTCATGCAGTTAACATGGAATTATGTCCAACGTGAACTGAATTGGGAGGCTGGGATCTGTTATTCATGCAAGAAAATTAATGAAGGCTGGTGGTGAAAAATTGGCAAGGCTGGGAGAGAACCGGGGTCAAATGGCACTCTTCCCCTTGGGGTTTGCTCCTCTCCAAATTGCAGGGCACAACTCACTATAGTGATTCGCGTCACAACTGTGGCAAAAAAAAGTATCATCAAAGGGGACACGACTCACATAACCACCGCCATGCTCAGCGATGGAAATTTGGGGCTCCGTTGTAAGTCGTGTCAGAGACAACCTGTGTCATATAATTATAATATCCCTGGGTAGATGCATAATTTTGTATTTATTGATTTATCTTGTCATGTTTATGTAGTGTATATTTGAGGGGGTGATCCTTTGAGAGCCGTTATGCAATGAAATTTCATGTGAATGTATGCCGATTAGTGGACATTCAAAATAGTCTAAGTGACAATAAAGCTAGTCCAAGCCTTCATGAAAGATGTCAAAGAGACGCTTGTGGATTTGCTGAGAGTTGGAGAGGCTACCCAATGTCCAAACAGCATGACTTATTCATCTGTGGGTTGTTGTTTTTCCTGCTGTCTGCCATCCACCCTGCCACCCAGCCACTCTGGTTTACCTGTTCCTTGTTGTTTTCCAGGGCTGGGAGGACTTCCTTGACGGTGCGCTCCACCAACACCCCCCCTACCATGCGGAAGCACTTCCGGCTCGGGTCCACCTCTCTGAGGGTCTCAATGACCAACCTGCAGAGGAGACGAAAATTGTGAGTCCACTCCAGCACTTCCAGGCAAGGCCAACACAAGGAAGGGATCTAAAAGTCAAGGAACCTGACAATCGGTTTGCTAGACTTCCGTGTTGAAGCCTCATTGCTGCCCAGTGGCGCCGTATTTGGAATACAGGTAGTCCTTGACTTACAACTGTTTAGGGACCATTTAAAGTTACTGTTTTTCATGCTTATGACCATTGCAGCATCCCCGTGGCCAGGGCTGGGATTCAGCTGGTTCGGGACGGTTTGGGCGAAACGGATATTAAATTTACATCTGGTTCGCTGAATCAGTAGTTGAACCCACCGGCTGGCCCCGCCTACCCAGCACCTCCCCTCCCAGGAATCTCCACATGGCACGTTTTGGATGCAGGTGAGTGCAGAGTCCACACAGAGGCTCTGGGAGGGCGAAAAATGGCCTTCCTGGAAGTTCCAGAAGTCTGGAAACAGGCCTATTTCTGGCTTCAGGAGAGCCTCCGGAGCCCAGGGGCGGCCATTTTCTCCCTCCCAGAGGCCCGAGGGAAGCCTCCGGACTCTGGGGAAGGAGAAAAATGGCGCTCCTGGATGTTTTCGTAGGCCACGCCTGTTAGGAATATAAGTCACCTAATAGCTATTTGGGTTGAAAATATATAAACCAGGATAAACCTTTTAAAACTGTATCTTTAAGGGAATGCTAAAATTGTAATTAGGTGTGGTTTCTCAAACGGCCATAAGATGGAGCCAGAAACCTGGGTTGTTTAGTCTTAGTCTTAGTCTCAGAGTGTGTCTCAGTGAGTATCTTTTTCCTTCTGTTGGAGAGTATTGCCTTTCCTCCATTTTTTTCTAATTGACTGATATTTTTGGATTTGATGTAAGTCTGATAGTGAACTGTTTTTGATACTGGACTTTGTTATTGGATTATCCCTGGACTGAAAGCTGACTGACTAACCTGTGAATGACTTTGGACCGCTTGTTTAGAACTTTGCTTAAACCTTTATCGACAGTAAAAACCTACATTTACTGTACAGTGTATCTGTGTGCTGTGTATTATTCAAACACTACTCTCTATACGTCTCCCTGTATACGCTCATTCTCCTAATGTGGAATTACCTCAACAACGCCCACCCAGCAAACGGGCAGCGTACTGGTTATTGGGATTTTTGAATCCCACCCCTGCCCGTGGTCACATGATCAAAATTGAGACACTGGGCAACCGACTCATTTAATGACGGTCGCAGTGTTACGGGATCCCCTTTTGCGACCTGACAAGCCAAGACAATTTTGAAGTCAAATTCACTTAACAACTGTGTTGCTAAGTTAACAAGTGCAGCAATTCGCTTATCAACGGCAGCAAGAAAGGTTGCGAATGGGGCAAAGCTCACTTAGCAACTTGTCAGGCTTTAGCGACAGAAATTTGAGCTCTACTGTGGTCGTAACTCAAGGACTACCTGTAATGGGTAGATCTGGGCTACCCGAAGTGAATTGCAACCGCCTGCCAAGAATCAAGACCATCCCCACTTTCCTTTTGTGGCCAGGACATACTTGTGTTCGTTCAGTTCCATCTCCAGCTCGGCCGCCTTTGAAGCAAGACCTCTCTGCTCCTGGCGGAGGCGGTTGAATCCTGCTACCACCTGGAAGGAAAAATTACACCCGTGTTGGTGAACTAGAACCGCGGTTAGTTCCTAAGAGCCACGGTAGTGCAGGCTACTTCCACTGACCGACTGCAATTTGGCAGTTCGAATCCCACCAGGCTCAAGGTTGGCTCAGCCTTCTGTCCTTCCGAGTGGGGTAAAATGGGGACCCAGATTGTTGGGGGCAAGAGGCTGACTCTGTAAACCGCTTAGAGAGGGCTGTGAAAGCACTGTGAAGCGCTTTAGTCTTATTGCTATATTCCAGATTCCTCTCCTCCCCCCAAATAGTTTGCGAAGTGATGTTATGAGAAACTCTGAGGTGTTTTGGGCTGGTGGAATTCCACACCCAGGGCAAATGGCCCAGAGGACACCAGGATGCCAGCTCGAGCCGGATTCCAGGGTGCTCTGTCCTTCTTCAACTGTCAATTCTCACCCTCCCAATTTTCCATCATCAAAGTATACAGCAACCATTGGTTCCTCCCTTGTTCCCCTCCCTTCCCTCACTGATGACAGTCGGAAAGGTGGTTCCGACAATGTGTTGCAGTATCTTTTATTTTATTTATTAAATGTATATACACTGCCTGTGTCACTTTCCAGAATCAATCTGGATGGCTTAGCATGGCCACTTTTATCAGAAGCCGCTGTTGGGACCAGGAGAGATATGTGTGTGTGTGTGTGTCTTTCTGTAATGTTTTAGGAATGGACTTTGATTAATGTTTATAGTTGTTTGAAGGAACAGAACCTTCTCCGTGTGGAATGTGGATTCTGCTAAGAACCAGTTCAAACCTACCAGAGACAAAGTCCAATCTTGGCAACTTTAAGACTTGTGGACTTAATTCCCAGAATTCTACGAAAGCTACCCCGGCTGACGAATTCTGGGAGTTGAAGTCCACAAGTCTTAAAAGTTGCCCTGCTCTAGTAACTGGTAAACTCACTATAATGTGGGAAACACAACCTCCTGAAACGTGAAATTGAGCCCAGACCCACGTCTGCATTTGCATGTATCTTTAAAGCTTGCTTTGCATTAGCGCTGATTGACACCAACTTCCAGCGGAGTCAGTCCTTGGGATAAGTACATGTCCACCACATGACATTTAATTTAAAAATAAAATTAAAAACAAACGAAAATTATGAAAAATAATATAATAAAATAATAATAATAAAATTAAACCTAAAGACTAACCCCTCCCTCAAAGAACAGACTCAGTAGAAGACTAGATCTTTTCTGCCTTCAGGTAGAAAACTACAGGCATTCCTCGATTTACAACCACAAATGAGCCCAACATTTATGTTGCTAAGTGAGACAGTCGTTAAGTTAGTTTTGCCCCGTTTTACGACCTTTCTTGCCACAGTTGTTAAGTGAATCTGGCTTCCCCACTGATTTTGCTCGTCAGATGGTCGCAAAAGGGTCACGTGATTCGGGGGAGCGACCGTCATAGATGTTGGCCAAATGTCCAAATTTTGATCACGTGACCACGGGGGAGGCTGCAACGGTCCTAAGGGTGACAAATGATCCCAAGGCCCTTTTTCCCAGTGCCACTGCCACTTGGAATGGTCATTAAGCGAATGGTTGTAAGTCGAGGACACTCTCTCTCCTCTCTCTTCCCCCCCCCTCGGCTGAGAGGGGCAGCTATAGATAAATTAATAGTGAATTTAAAAAAATCAAAATGAATAATAAATAATACATAAAATAAATAAATGTCTTCTAAGAGCCCCGCTATAGGCCTGGTGGGGGCTCAGGGCGCTCTGCACATGCTCAGGGGAGAGAAGCAGCACCGTCGCCCGTAGCAACCGCATCCAACCGCATCCTCCTGCTCGGCTGGGCGCTCTGCACATGGCCAGGAGCCCGCCGCTCGGCTGGCTCCCGCTCCCGGGACGCCCCACGCGGTACCTGCTCGGGAGTCAAGGGCTTCGCCGCCCCGCCTCCGCCGCTAGCAGGACCCGCCGGAGTCGCCGCCAGGCCGCTCTTACTCTTGCTCTCCTCCGCCATCTTCGCCCTCCTCCCTCCGGGCTGGGAAGAAACACCACTTCCGGTTGCCCGGGTTCTATCTAACGGGACCGGAAGCGGCCGTTGACGCCGTTTCGTCCGCCATCTTTGACACGGGAATCGTCCTCTCCTCGCTTCTTTTCCCCAGGAAATATGGCAGCATCCGCATTGAAAACCAAAATTTTGCATCAGAGAGGGAAGGCGCCCCCGCAGACGGGGGAAAAAGTCGAACTTCGGCGGTTTATTTCAGCCTGGTACCAGCTTGAGGCATCCATCTTTGTTAAGGGCGGCGGCTGACCCCTCCCCTCCCCAGTATCACGTGACCGGCCCGCGAGTTTGGGGGGGAAAACGGCCAAAGGATGAGCGTTATTCAAATCAGGCGAGCGGAAGCGGAAACGGAGAGAGCTGTTGAGCGCCCCAGCCGCCATCTTTGTTAAGGGCCCAGTTGGACTTCCGGGATGGACTGAGCTGGAGCAGAGGGGGACCTGCTGCCGCTGCCGTGGAGGCTCCTCGGGACACGCGGTGGCCGGAGGCAGGAGCGGAATGTGGGCCGCTGGAGCTGCAGGGTTGAGGGGTGGGGGCGGTGGGCGGGCTGGAAGGTTGGAGGAAGTAGCCCCACGTGCAAAATCAGGACCACCCCCACCATTGGCCCATTTGGGGGCGGGGCGTCAGGACATGGGGGTGTGGCTAACCCAGAGGAGCAAGTTGGGCAAATGCCAGGTTTTTCAGACTCGGCCCCTTTAAGAGGAATGGACTTCAACTCCCAGGATTCCCCAGCCAGCAAAGAATTCTGGGAGTTGAACTCCACCTGTCTTGAAGCATGCTGGCTGGGGAATTTTGGGAATTATAGTCCAACCAACTTAAAACACTGTCTGGGACTTGGAAGTGCACCCATCTTAAATCATCCTTAGTCCATCCTTAGGCAATGCTGACTGTGGGATTCTGGGAGTTGAAGTCCACCCATCTTAAAACATTGTTAGCTAAGGGAATTATGGGAGTTGAAGTCCACCCCTCTCAAAGTGTGCTGGCTGGGGAATTCTGGGAATTGGAAGTGCACCCATCTTAAATCAGATTGGCTACGGAATTTTGGGAGTTGCAATCCATCCTTAAGCAATGCTGGCTGGGGAATTCTGGGAGTTGTAGTCCACCCATCTTAAACCATCCTGGCTGTGGAATTCTGGGAGTTGGAAGTGCACCCATCATCAAGGGGCCAAGCTTGTAAAAACACCGAACTAGTTCTTCAGCTGGGTTCAGTGAGTCATATGAACATAGCAATGAATCACACTGTAGGACGGGGTCCACAAACTTGGCCACTTTAATACTTGGGGACTTCAACTCCCAGAATGCTCCAGCCAGCACAGCTGGCTGAGGAATTCTGGGAGTTGAAGTCCACAAGTCTTAAAGTAGCCAAGTTTGGAGACCTCTGCTGTAAGAAAAGAATCTATGGGGTGGAGAAGAGGTGAAAATAAAATACAGGTAGATAGTTTAATAGTATCTATTGATGGCTGGTTTGCCCAAGTACCAAAGAGCCAAGCTCAGAGATCACCAAGGATTTTACAGTTCACCTCTGAGCTACAAATATGCTCTTCTATTAAAGCCATTATCCTCCTTTTCATTCTTTGACTATTCTAGGTTGAGAGGAGCGGTCCAGAAGACCTTGCAAATCCTGTGCGGTGCTGGGAAACAGTTTAGAGGGATCCAGAGCCAGGCACCTGGCAACAGGTAACTCACCTCAGGGCCGCTTTTGCAGATGACATCCATGGAGCGGTAAGAAGGGGGTGAGAGAATGGAAAAATAGGTGTGAAGCTCCGGCATTCTGAACTGCGAGTTACAGTTCAGTCGTATCTGAAGGATAACTTTTGCCTTCACACATTGTGGGAGCTTCATCCCTGGAGGCTTTCAAGAAGAGACTGGACTGCCGTCTGTCAGAAATGGTGTAGGGTCTCTCCTGCATGGGCTGAGGGTTGGACTAGATGACCTTCAAGGTCCCTTCCAACTCTGTTAATCTATTAAAAACTCTAATTTCTGGTGCTTTTTACAACTTGGTATGTGTCCTTCCCTTGTTTATTTTCATTGCACCCAGCAAGGTATCCTGACCCAGAATTAGGGAATTAAGAAGGAGGAATTGGGTTCTGTTTACTCCCAGAATTTTGCACCATGCTATCCATGGTTTGCACAACTGAGTCCTTTTTGGGGGGATTTGCACAACAGAGAGAACAACAATCCACCAAGTATATTGAGTACACAAAACACAGTAGGCTAAAAATGCAGTGCGCTGGTTTGTGCTATGGGTGCAATCTTCTGTCTGTTGATTTCTATTCAACCGTTCCAGCACTAAACAAGAATGCCGATTCATAATTTTAAAATAGGAGCTTTGCCATTTTAAATCTAGTTGAAATGTTGGGATTTAAAAACATAAAACATAAAACTCCAGTTGTTCTCTTCCAGTTTCTGGCTAACGTGTCAGCGTTCCAAGTAACCTCCAGAGAAAAAAAACCGCAGAGAATTATCATCTTCCCAAAGATCCATTTTATCAGAGATGCCATATTGGCACATCTGGGGAAAACCCAAATCTGAGAACTCCGGGTTTTCCCTTCCCAAAAGAGAAACGAAAGATCCGTTCCCCGGCATCCATCAAGCCGTCACATGGCCCAATCGTTACTTCGTTCCGGCTGGAGACCATGGTCAGGGTTTCCAGGCGATGAAATACATTTAAAAAGGAAAAAGCAAAGTCCACTTTCCAAGACAATTTCTTTTATTTAGGTAAAGCATCAAATTGGCAAAGTCTGTTTGTCATTCCGGATCTGACCCAACCCGGAATTGCACCACATAATATTGGAAGTTAGAAACAGACCCCCAAAGTCACATTCCCCAATAGAAGTAAATCAACGTTTGCCTGGCGTCATCACCTCCACCTCCAGGTCGCAGCAGGGTCAGCTTTCGTTCCCATGGGACGGAGAACCACCTAGCTCCGTGTTGGCGAACCTATGGCATGCGTGCTGGAAATGGCACGCAGAGCCATTTCCCCCGGCATGTGAGAGCTTGCCAGGAAGAGCTCCACTGCGCATGTGCGGACGGCGCCACCACCTGACAGCTGATTGTTGGGTATCAGGCACACATGCGCGGGGAGCGTGGGAGACACGTGCATGCGCAGAGACATGCAGCGCGTGCTGGGGGTTGTGCACACATGTGCAGATGCGCGGCACGGGGGTGATTGCACGTGAATGTGCAGGCGCGCGCTGCATGAAAGGGTGATTGCGCATGCAGGTGCGTGGCATGCGGCAGAATCACATGCGCAGGTGCAGAAACGTGCTGTGCATGGCGGGGGAATCGCGCATGCAGGTGGGCACGCAGCAAGAGGATCGTGCATGCGCAGATGTGCAGCACACTGCAGGGGGATTGTGCACACAGGCACAGGGGGGTGGGAGTGGGCCAGCACGCATTGCCTTCTGGGTGCTGGCACACGAGCACACAAGCACGCGTGCAATTATTGTTACGGGAGCCGAAAAAGGTTTGCCACCATTCTTATCTCTGCTCCTCCCACCTTAGGATTGTGGCAAGCCCGAAACCCTTCTACCCCATAACCAGCAAAGAGAAAAAAGAGAAGGAATATATAAGAAGGCTAAATAAAAGGGCTACGCATATGTCAATTTCTGGCTTGACAACTATCCCCAGTCGTTCCCCTCCAGGTGCAGGGCAACATGTCCTTGACTTTCTGAGAAAGGAATGTTGTGGCTAATCTTCCACCGCTCCTTAAAAAAACCCCTCCCAAATTCCCAGGCACTGAATGTGGCAGCCCAGAAGCCTCAAAGAAAAATGGCTTCCAAGCGGACAAGCTGATATCACAACAAATGTTTTCGTGTCCAGCAACCCAAAAGCATAAAGCTAAATGGAGGAGTTCAATGTGAAGTAAATTTTCTGTTTCTCATCCGTGTGTGTGTGTGATGATTTCTGCATAGATTTTGTCATGCCTCTGTCAGGATCTGAATCCGAGGAGGAAGCCGAAGAGCTGACAGGGAGCGGGAGTATGGCTCCATTGGCTGTGGAGGAAACTGGGGAAGGGCAAAAGTCCGGCTGGGCAGAGCAGGAGAGAGGTAGAACAAAGGAGAGAGGAGTTCAGAGGAAGACCCAGGCCCACCCCGTCTTCATCCTAGGGCACGCAGGGAGAAACGGAGAAAGGAGCAACGTGGGTTGTGTGGCTTACGGGGGAGGAAAGGGCCCTGATTCCCTTCATTAGCCACATGTGGGAATGAGAGTTTAAAAGAGATGCAAGCTGAGTGCGGTGTCTGCTAGGAACAAATTGTGTCTTCCCAACCATGTTGAATTATGGCCGTTCCTTCACATCTGGAATTCCTTCTCCTGCCCTGCCAGTCTAATGACCTCATCTTACCTTGATTGGACTTATAGTTACGGTTTTTGTTGACCGCGTTTTGGACTTGATTCCCTGCAGCCAAAGGCTGTTCCTGGGAGAGTTTTCCTCCAGCCCAGAAGGGAACCAGGACCTTGGCAAAGTTGGAGCTAATAAAGGGACTCCTACTGATCATCTGACTGGGTTGCCTGTGTTGCTCTGATACCTTTTTCCATATTTCCTCTCCAGCTCCCCAGCCATGTTCTCGGGTGCGAGAGGCCCAAAGCCCCTCATTGCGGTCTGCCAGGTGACGTCGACGCCAGACCGAGAACGCAACTGGGAGGCTTGTTCGCAGCTGGTCCGAGAGGCCACTCGGCGGGATGCTTGCGTTGTCTTTCTCCCGGAAGCCTTTGACTTCATTGGCAGCTGCACGGAAGAGACCCTCAGCTTGGCGGAGCCCTTGGAGGGGGATTATCTTCAGCGCTACGTCAGCCTGGCCAGGTAAGACTCTCGGGGGGCCAGAACGGCTCCTCCAAGAATTTGGATCCCTACGGAGGGGTTAGGCGGGAGAGGCTGTCGACATGCAGCGAAGATGGATGATAAAAAACAGTCCCAGAACATATAGAATACTTTATTGGCCAAGTGCGATAGGACACACAAGGAATTTGTCTTGGTGTAAATACTCTCAGTATACATAAAGAAAAGGTACATTCGTTAAGAATCAAGAATCATAACATACAACACTTAATGATAGTCATAGGGTACAATCAACAATCAAATCATATTAGGAAACAGTCAATATAAATCGTAAGGATACAAGCAACAAAGTTACAGTCCTACAATCACAAGTGGGAGGGGATGGGTGATAAGGAGTGATGAGAAGATTAACAGTAATAGTAGTGCAAACTTTGTAAATAGTTGAACAGTGTTGAGGGAATTATTTGTTTAGCAGAGTGATGGCCTTCGGGAAAAAAAATGTTCTTGTGTCTAGTTGTTCTGGTGTGCAGGGCTCTATAGCGTCGTTTTGAGGGTAGGAGTTGAAACGGTTTATGTCCGGGATGTGAGGGGTCTGTAGATATTTTCACAGCCCTCTTTTTGACTGTGCAGCATATAGGTGCTCGGTTGAAGGCAGGTGGGTAGTAATTGTTTTTTCTGCAGTCCTAATTATCCTCTGAAGTCTGTCTGTCCTGTTGGGTTGCAGAACCAAACCAGACAGTTATAGAGATTCAGATGACAGACTCAATCGTTCCTCTGTAGAACAGCAGCTCCTTGGGCAGTTTGAGCTTCCTGAGTTGGCGCAGAAATAACATTCTTTGTTGTGCTTTTTTGATGATGTTTTTGATGTTAGGTGTCCATTTTAGGTCATGTGATATAGTAGAACCTAGAAATTTGAAGGTCTCTACTGTTGATACTGTGTTGTCTAGTATTGTAAGAGGTGGTCGTATGGGAGAGTTTCTTCTAAAGTCTACCACCATTTCTACAGTTTTGAGCATGTTCAGTTCCAGATTGTTCTGGTTACACCACGAGGTAAGTTATATAACCTCCTGTCTGTATGCAGATTCATCGTTGTCTCGAATGAGACCAATCACTGTTGTGTCATCAGCAAACTTCAGTATTTTAACAGATGGATCTTTTGAGATGCAGTCGTTGGTATGTAGGGAGAAGAGAAGTGGAGATAGCAAACAGCCTTGGGGGGGCCCTGTGCTGATTGTACAGGTATTGGATGTGATTCCACCTAGCTTCACCTGCTGTCTGTTAGGAAGCTTATGATCCACTTACAAGTGTGTTCAGGTACCGCTAGTTGGTTTAATTTACTTAGAAGAGTGTCTGGTATGATGGTATTGAATGCTGAACTGAAGTCTACAAAGAGGACCCTTGCGTAGGTATTTGGAGATTCAAGGTGTTGTAGGATGTAATGCAGAACCATGTTAACAGCATCATCTGTCGATCTATTTGCTCGGTAGGCAAACTGCATGGGATCTAACAGTGGATCCATGATGGTTTTCAGGTGGGACAGCACAAGCCTTTCAAAGATTTTCATAACTACAGATGTTAGAGTTATTCAGTTCCTTGATGGAGGGCTTCTTTGGCACTGGGATGATGGCAGAACGTTTGAAGCAGGAAGGAACATAGCACATCTCTAGGGATCTATTGAAGATTCGGGTGAAGATGGGGGCCAATTGGTCAGCACAGACTTTTAAGCAAGAAGCCGTTATCTTGTCTGGCCCTGGTGCTTTTCCTGGCTTTCATCTGTGTAATAGATCTTGCACTTCTTTTTCTGGGATCACCAGAGGTTTTGAGCCCAATGGATTGGGGCCAGTTGTAGGAGGCTTGGCTGTTGTTGGTGTGTTTGAGATGGGGGTTGTGGAGATAGGTGGCTGTAGTTTCTTTTCAAACCTGCAGTAAAACACATGCAGGTCATCTGCTAGTTGTTGATTTCCTTCTGCCTGGGAAGGAGGTTTGCTGAAGCCGGTGATGTTTTTCAGAGTTTTCCACATGTTTGCTGGTTCATTTGTTGAGAATGGATTCTTTAACTTTTCAGAGTAGCTTCTTTTTGATGCTCTGGTCTCTCTTATTAATATGTTTCTGGCCTGGTTGTACAGCCTTCTGTTACCTTTTCTGTAGGCTTCCTCTTTGGAACGGCCTAGCTGCTTAACTTTTGCTGTGAACCAAGGTTTATTGTTACTATATATTTGCAGGTTCCTTGTTGGTACACATAAGTCTTCGCAGAAGCTAACATATGATGTGAACTCATCTAGGTCTGCAGAGGCATCTTCAAAAACATTCCAATCAGTACAATCAAGGCAGGCCTGGAGCTTCAGCTTTGCCTCATCTGACCAAGTCTTCGCTGATTTAATTGTTGGTTTCATGGTTTTAAGTCTTTGTCTGTAGGCAGGTACAAGGTGAATCTTGCAGTGGTCAGAGTGTCCCACAGCTGCTCGTGGTAAAGACCTATAAACATCTTTTACTGTTGTGTGGCAGTGGTCTAAAGTATTTTTGCCTCTGGTGGGACAATTGACATGCTGGAAATATTTTGGGAGCTCTTTCCTTAAATTTGCTCGATTGAAATCTCCTAAAATGATGGGAAGGAAACCTGGGTGTTTGCCTTCAACCTCCATAATTTGATCAGCAAGAGTTCGTAATGTCTTGTTTACACAGGCTTGTGGAGGAACATACACAGCTATTAGGAGAAATGAGGAGAACTCACGTGGAGAGTAAAATGGCTTGCAGTTGATGTGTAAAGACTCTTAAGTTTTCATCACAAAACTTATAGCTTTTGTTGATATATAAACATAATCCTCCACCCTTTGTTTTACCTGATGTCTCTTCAATTCTGTCTGATCTAAATGTCTGAAGTCCTGGGATGTATATGGTGTAGTCCTCATGAATTTGTGGATTAAGACAGGTTTCAGTAAAACAAAAAACAGCTGAGTTATGAAAATCAGAATTCCATCTATTTAAGAGATGAATTTCATCCATCTTGTTAGCCAGTGAGCGTAAATTAGTCAGAAAGATTGAAGGTAAAGGAGGTTTTTTCCCCCCCTATTCCTTAGTCTGTTTAAAATTCCCACTCGTTTACCACGTCTCCTCTTCCGGCGTGGTCGCTTCTTTGCTTTCTTTGTTGTAATCCATAGCAGCGGGAAATTGGTTAGAATCTCCTCCGCGTTTGCAAAGACAGGTGGGGATGAGGAATCAGAAAGCTGCTCCTTAACAAAAACATGGCCTAATTCTTAGCAGATGGTCTCGTGAGTAGGAAATCCGTAGTGAATTGCCGATAATAATAAGGAATAAAGAAACCATTACAGAGCATTTCACTGAGGCAGTTGTCGTCAGCGCCATCTTGGCTTCAAATCAGTTTTTGTCTAGTGGTTAAGGCGCCAAGCTGGAACCCAGGAGATAGCAAGAGCACTTAGACTTATATACCACTTCACAATGCTTTCCAACCCTCTCTAAGCAGTTTATAGAGTCAGCCTCTTGCCCCCCAACAATCTGGGTCCTCATTTTACCCAACTCGGATGGACGGAAGGCTGAGCCAACCTTGAGCCTGGTGGGATTTGAACTGCCAAGTTGCAGGCAGCCGGCAGGCAACAGAAGTAGCCTGCAGTACTGCACTCTGACCACTGCGCCACCGCAGCTCATAGATGAGGTGATGAGTTCTAATTCTATTTTAGACATGCAAGTTGTCTGGGTAACTGGGCTAATTACCAGGATAACTCTGAGTTCTAGTTGTGCTTTAGCCATGAAAGCCAACTGGGTGACTTTGGGCCAATCATCAGGAGATGGTGAGCTTTCGTCCCACTTTAGGTATGAAACCTGGTTGGGTGACTTTGGGCCAGTCACTTTCTCTCAGCCCCACCCACTGGGTTGCTATTGCAGGCAAAATAAGAGAAGGAAGGTCTGTTGAGTATGTTCGCCATCTTGAGTTATTTATTAAATAATAATAAAGGGAAGATAAAGCGTATTAAAAATATGTTCGCGTCCTAACGCGATGTTTCTCGACTTTAGCAACTTGAAGAGGTGTGGACTTCAGCTCCCAGAATTCCCCAGCCAGCATAGTTGGCTGGGGAATTCTGGGAGTTGGGCCACACCTCTAAGGCTGACAAACGACTCTTTCAGAAATAAAAGGTCTTGGTTCTTGTAGCAGGTGCAGAGAACGGCTCCGTCTTCCGTAGGTGCCACCCAGTGGGGGAGGGGAGAACCTCAGCCAGGTAAGCCCAGGTGGAAACAAACCTTTGCTTCTCTCCTGGCAGGGAATGTGGAGTGTGGTTGTCTCTTGGAGGTTTCCACGAGAAGGGCAAAGATTGGGAAAGCACGCGACGGATCTACAACTGCCACCTTCTTGTGGATGCCAAAGGTAACGAAATGTCCTTAAATTAGGTGGGGGTCTCTTTTTGCCCCACTCCCCCAATATTCCTGCACCGAGAGAGCACAGCCACAAGGGTGCTGAGTCAGATTGGACTCAAACATGCGACGAATGGTTGCAGGAACTGGGCCTGGCTAGTCTTGGGAAGAGAAGGACCAGGGGAGACATGATAGCAGCCTTCCGATATTTGAGGGGCTACCCCAGAGAGGAGGAAGGGGGTCAAGCTATTCTCCAAGGCACCTGAAGGTCAGACAAGGAATAATGGATGGAAACTGATCAAGAAGAGATTCAACCTGGAAATAAGGAGAAACGTTCTGATGGAACAATTAACCAAATGGAACAGAAGTTGCCTTCGAAAGTTGTGGGAGCTTCATCCCTGGAGACTTTCAAGAAGAGAATGGACTGCCCTCTGTTAGAAATGATGTAGGGTTTCCTGCTTTGGGGGGGGTTGGACTAGATGACCTACAAGGTCCCTTCCCATTCCGTTAATCTGTATCTGGATTGTCCATGCTTCCTTAAAAAATTCTGCTTCACAGTGGTGATAGTTGAAAAAAAAAATTACATTAGACTTCACGCATCAAACGAAGACATAAATCGTGTTGATGAAATACAGTGGCTGTGTTTACACAACTTGTTAAGTCAAAACAAAGCATACAGCATGCCTGAGTTTACACTTTTGTGCCCGACCCACAGGTGGTTTGTTTGCCTGCATTGCAGTTTGTTGTGGGACAAAGACATTACAATCTGTAAACACTGATTTGGGACTCAGGGTGATGAAAAGCAGCTGTTTAAAGGTATAAGTCATATAGAAAAAGCCTTTGAGTAAATCTAAAGTTAAATGAGACTTGGACTCTTAGGTACATTGCTGAAATTACATTTTGAAAGGAAGGCTATATAGAGGCAAAAAGTTGCCCTGG